AAATGATGATAAGTAAAACTACCAAATATTTTGCAAATTATGTTAATTGCTATATTGAGTAAAATCAATATAATGAATGTTTTTTTAGTACCTAACGAATATTATTTTCACCTTATGAAGCCTGAAAGCGCTAAACTATTTGCTTTTAAGTAGCAATATTTTTATATAAAAATATTTGCAGCAGCAATTAAGTATACATAAATAGCATCAAAGAATCAAGATCACTTCGGAGTAGTTTTCACTACCTGAAACTATATCAACAATTTAAAGAAAATGCTGTATACATATTTTTTTGGAGAACAAGGAATATGCCAATATTTCTTACTAATACAAATTGTTGTATTCTAAATGATCCTTCCGTTTCTTACTCCAAATAACATACATCCCTGCTATATAATTAATTTATTACAATAAATTTTTAACAAAGGAATATTTACTATGTACAGGTTTGGATAAATCAAGGTGACATAATTTTAGTTGGTTTACGTGACTATCAAGACTCAAAAGCTGACGTCATCCTAAAGTACACACCTGATGAAGCCAGGAATTTGAAAACATACGGCGAGTTCCCAGAATCAGTGCGTATTAACGACACAGTCACGTTCGTTGAAGATGGCTTTGATGAAGATATTGAATTTGGTGATGAGATAAGTTCAGAAGATGACGCTGACTCAGTAGATAATATCTGATTAACAGCAATCAATAAAATAACTACTAATGAAGAAGAAATCACTTAAACAAAATATATACCATTTAGTTAAAAAATTCCTTTCTACGTCATTGGAACAAATCCATTTTAAGCTACGAATTTCGAACAGTGTTAATTGATTGCAAAAAAAATTACATTTCTAAAGGAACATGAAACAGTTTAATAAAAAAAAGCAATAATATATTTAATAAAACAGCCATAGTAATAACTATAAATTTTTTCAATTTTATTGTAATACATCATAACTCCGAAAAATGCAAAAGTAAATCAATCTAAATATAAAATTTTTAAAAAATGTTTTAATGAAATTCAAATTATTAAATATTAGAAACATAAATCAAAGCTGTAGTTATAAACAAAATTATCGTTACAAAATGTATAAGTTAAACGAATTATTCGGTTATATGTATAGGAGTCTATAATTTATGTAGAGTTATAGCTATTAGATGCATAGTTCTAATACATTATAAATACATTATCTGTTAAAATAATGATCGTCTATTCTCTATAACTCCAGCATAAGCTAATATTTACTCCCTCATATCCACTAAAAAGTATGTTTTTGTTAATTTTAGTTTAGGTAAACAGTTGAAGATTATTATTTCTTTTCTTATATTATAAATTATTTTTATTGTAAAAAAAAATATATATATACATAAATATTAATAAATTAAAGTAAAAGGAATATTGAAAAGTTTGGTATTAATTCTGAACGAGGGAGCGCATATTTTTGAGTCCTATTGACCTAAGTCGTTGCCGCATGGAGTCAAGATTTGTTGTCGTCCTGATCTAAGGTACTTTCAATCAACTACCTCAACTCCCTTTTCCCCACTTACCTTTTTTTCCTACATATTTCTTTAGCCTTTCCATTCATCCTATCCTATCGGTTATGTATGTCTTTTTTTTTTTTTTTTTTTTGTTCGTGACGTCAAGGTTTTCTGGCAGCCAGAAGCGTTACATCAACTACATATATTTTTTAAAGTTAATAAACAATTTGTATGAATTATGTTCAATTTACAATAGTTTTATACTAAATCAAGACTTCTCACAATTTTTTAATTCAATTTTCTAGTTTTACTTGTTTAGTGAACTCTCCTCATATATGTTTTAAAATAATATATTTCTACTGCGTATATTATAATTTAACTATAGTTTTAATTTTAAACCTTTGAAAGACTCAAAGGTCTTGATAAAATCGAATTGATTATTATGATATCAACAAAATGTAATTAATGAAATTAAAAATGATAATGGCTCAAATCCAATGTTTATTTAAAATTTTAATATATTAGTAATTCCGTGTTTATAAGTTATTAAATATCAATATGATAAGCCTCTACCACTGTGATATCTGTCGGTCTTCACAAAAATGTAAAATTGCGCACTTGACAAACAACGATTGGTTACATAAGTGAGTTTTTTGGCAACAGCCAGACGCACAAGTGAGGTGATATTTCTCGAGTGGAAACACGAGATAAGATTTTATTGAATTTCTAAAAAATTTCATTCTGCTTTTACATTTTTACGATACATACGACTTCATGAAATATTTGTAATTAATAAAAGTTTATTGTAGCTGGATGCTTAATAATTTCTGAAAAACTATTTAAAGTTATAATGCATCTGTTCATCTCAATATGTGTATTAACAGATACTCAGTTATCTCTTAATACACATTAAGATCATAATCAACGATCTCATTTCAGTCCAGAGTCCTTTTTTTAAATCTCTCTCTATAAGTATACATTTGTAGTTATTTTTCTGTGTACATATATAATTTTTTAATTTTTTCCTCCGTTGAGATATTTATTCTATCGCCTCCACAGATATTGTTCTGTAGCTAGAATTTTTTGTTCTACAAGATTTTGTTCAAATGAAACCAAAAATATTTTCCAGTCTTACAATGCATTTAAACTTAAACAGGTACTTAAACAAAGTAAACGCATTCAAATTATGGATAGAATTCACATATTATCCACTTTCTAAAATACCATATAACCCATGAAACAGAACAACCCATGAAAAATTAAATTGTGTCTATTATTTAATGACAATGATTTTTATTTCACACACACACAATCGAATTCTTCTGAGATTCACATTTTTGTTATATCTTAAAACCAAATCAGAAAACCAACATTTTTAAAAGAATGTTCTCTAAAAAATTATTACTTCGCTTCATTTTCGAACTTTTTATTTCTTAATTTCTGGTACTTTTACTTTCCGTTTGATGGCCTTTACAAAGATGGATAGGGTTCGAGGTGCGACTACAATAATAACTGCTCCTTTAAAGTCTTAATTCTACAAAGAACATGTTTGTCGTTTAAAATTGAAATGTAAGAATGAAATGATATATACTACATAAATAGGTATTGTTTTTTTTAAAACATCTTTATTGCGAACCATTGACTAGATCAAGATAACATTAAAATTAGATAAAAGAATACATATATAATAACATCCCCGTAAAATTAATATTGTTGTCATAATACAATTTTCATTATATCTCTTGTATTGATCTAATTCTAAGATGGGTAAGACGAACATTACCTAAATGATTGATTTATCAATAAATAGTATTCTTTTTAACTGATGTAAGCTTTTACAACTAAGGAATGGTTTCCGCACAAATGTATTATTTTTTATGTGTTCTCTTCTTAAGTTAAGGAGATTCTTATTATTGTTTAATAATCTTTAACATTGGCCTCCCATTATATTCGAGATGTGTCAACTGCTCTCTCTTCTGGAATTACTATTAGTTTTGTAGAGTATTTTCGTTATCGAAGACACTCCATAAATTCACCTCCTATGGGTTAATTTGCTATACTATGGTCTTGTCTCTACTATTTTTTATAGAACTGTAGCTTAGTTTAAATGGCTATGTATCTCTTGCCAAAGTGAATTTTATAGATTGCATATCTTGATAGAAATATTAAACTACTTATTTACTTATCAACTAGTCAATAATATACTCTTTTTTTAATCTTAACTCAATTTATAATTAACATTTTTCGAAGGTGAGACAGTCAATCTAAGTATCTGCATGTTGCATTTTGCATTATCACGCATTCTAAGCTGATAAAGTTTATTTAATTACTGATATAAGCAATAGTAGATTTGATTTATGATCGTGATATACAAAATTTAGTATGCAATACCATTATATTTATTTTTTAAGTTAAATTATATTGTAATTTAAGTATATAAGTTAATTTACATACGTTCACTTATTTATCTACACCCTGTAAACAAATTGAATTATTTTAAATCTAAAAACTAACAATTCAAAGAAAACCGTAGAGTCATAAAAATGTATAAAGTAATTAGGTATTTTCGGATTTTTATTTATTTATTTAAATTGTTCATTAAATAAATAAAGAGTTTTTAATTAGTTGAACGTAGCGTCACGTAACAACAAATAAATTATAGGTCATAATCTCTTGAAAGTGTGTAACATATGTGCAGCTTTGTGATAAGAAATTAGTGAAAAAATTAATTTTTGGGAGAATTTTAAGAAATTTTATTTAAAAAATATGATGAAGTTTTGATACTAGTAGCTTTCTTTATTACCGCATCATTCTTAATCTTAAGAATAAGAACCCAGTGTGGATCATTACTTCTACACATACCGTGCTTCTGCAATATGCATGATTAAGGGCTTTGATGTCGTCTGCTTGATTCCATCCAGCTACCCAGCTATGTTTAGCTGACATTTAGTGTAACAAATGTGGATAATGGCAAGTTCAAATTCATCCCAATTGGTTTAGAATTGATATAATTTGCGTGGAAACTGATAGTTCTAATATATGTTTTTATAAACAAAACACATTTTTAAAAAAATTTTAACTAAATTTTGATGTTGAGTACTTTAATTTTTATTATGTAGCGCTAATAAAAACTTTGTAGATCAGATCGAATTTAACTATAGCCACAATATACAAAATTGTATTAGTAATGTTATATTATATTATATTATATATTATATTATATTATATTATATTATATTATATTTTATTTTTATATTTATTTTTATTTATATTATTTATATATATATTATATTAATTATTTATATTTTTTATTTATTTATATTATATGAGATTATTTTATATTTTTATATATAATTTATATATTTATAATATTATGATATATATTTTTATGATTTATTATATTTATTCTTTTATTATATTTTCTATTATTATATTAATTATTTTTATGATTTTATTTTATTCTATTACATTATTATATATGATTTGATTATATGTTATTATATTATATTTTAATTATTTACTTTATAGTCTTTTTATATTTATATCTATATCTATATTAGATTATTTTATATTATTTATTTATTATTATTATCATTATATTATTATATTATTTTATTATTTATTATCTATCATTTTTTATATTATTACTATTCTATTTTATTTATTTATTATATTATTTATTATGTATTTTATATTATTTATTTATATTATTTATATTCATATTATTTATTTAATTATATTGGGGTTAGATTGGTTTATTTATGTTATATATTTATTATTATATATATTTGATTATATTATTTATATTATATTATTATTTATGCTTTATCTCTATCATTATTTTATTCTATTTATATTTATTTATTTATTATATTTTATTATATCTTATTATATCTATATTGATATTATACTATATTATTTTCGTTATTTATTTTTTTATTTAATTATTTTTATATAATTATTTATATTATTTATATTATATTATATTATATTATATTATATTATATTATATTATATTATATTATATTATATTATATTATATTATGTTGAAGATGTTTTGAGCTAGTGCACTTAAGCACTTATACTCTTTTTAACTCGAGTTTTCTTCAAAACCTCTCTCTACACCTTGACTAGATTATTGTTCATCACTTCATCAGACTAAGCAATAATTGACCTCAGATCTGCATACCTCCCCGAGGAGCCTGTAACCATTCTGAGATTTGATAACGCGGTGTTGATAGGTCTGTCAGATTTCGCAAATAAATTCAGGGCTCTATCCTTTATGTATTTTTTGATGGGATCAATATTGATGTCCCTGAGGATGTCATTCGTTTTAATGTACCATGGAACTTTGAAAAGTCTTCTCAGAGCCTGGTTTTGTGCAATTTCTAGCTGGTGAATAGTAGTGTTTGAAGCTTTGCTAAACGCTACACAACCATGTAGAAGTGACGACGAATTATTTGGTTATATATCAGTTTCCTGTTCTTAGCATTGAGATTTTCATTTCTGAATAGCGGTTGGAGATAATGAAGAATTTTGGCACAGCTAATTCTTTTCAGTTGAACATGTTAAAGCCATGTGTTTTTGAATATTGTTAATAAAATAGAATTTATCGGTTTAAATCGAGTTATTACTGCAAAGCAATATATTCCCATATTATCCTGTTTTTGTAGGATAATATATTTCGAATATACATTAAGACTGAAAAGTTTTCGGAAATTCTCATTTAAAATTCGCGCGCTGTATATTTTTCG